GCGAGAGTAGCAGGGTGGTGGGGGGGGGGGGGCGAAGCCTTCCTAGAAAGTTGCAGCTGGACAGATGGGAACTGAATGCCTTCCCTGTTCCCCCCCAGCGCACACAGCTCGTTTCAGTTCTGCAACCCTCTCCTAGCCCACAGAATCCACGGGCAGTCTGCAGGCATTTATACCTGGGTAGCTTTGTCATTCATGCACGAAGTGGCAGCTCCTTCAGCGTCCCGTGGCCACTGTCCCAGCAGGTATGAGCCCACGATGGTGTCCAGCGAGGAGGTGCGCCGCACGCGGGGCTGCCAGGGGCGGCAGGGCTTCTCAGCAGCACAGGGAACGCTGGCTGCACAAGGGGAGAAGAAAAGACAATTAAAACTCCCAAAGCCAAGATTCAACAACATTTACCACAATTAACAAGCCCACGTCCGTTGCGAAGATCACAGGAAGGGAACCAGCACATACAGCCTGGAGAAGTCCATTTACTTTTTGGAAGCCAGAGTCCCACTGCTTCCCGCTCCGCACGGCGGCAGCTCACCCCTGCCAAGGCCATGCCACTGCCCAGCCCCAGCGCGGGCAGTTTTGCTGCTCAAAGTCAGCTATCGAAAACAAGCAGCAACAGAAACGCCGCTCCGGGAGGGCCGGTGGCCGGACCGCCCAGTCTGCCCTCCTACTCACTCCTCCGCTCTGCCGCAGGGCGCCGCGCTCACGCCTATCGCAAAGAGATTGCTTCTCTAGAAGCAGAGATTTTATTGCAGCCCTTAAGTGGCTGCTTGAAGCCATTGATGAGACATTCCGGCCCGAGCCGAGGGAGCTGCTGCACAACCAAGTGGAACATTCGGCGTGTCCACGTTGCTTTTGCATGAGCACCGTAGAAAAAGCCCCACCACGCTGCCTATGAGGCCACACTTCTTACTCGCTGGAGCACGATGCTTCGGCAGAGAACCCAGGCTCCTACCCATGGTAAGACCCCACAGCAGAAGGGAGCCCCTGTGCCTCAGTTTCCCCCAAGGAAGCGTGCTACTACTCACTTCCAGTTTCAAGGAGGACAAGAGAAAGTCTGCAAAGTTTCGGATCCTCCAGCGGGACTACACGAGCGCTTGGTGCCCTCAGTAGGTGCGGGGATTCGTTCCGCCCAGACCAGAAGGGGAGGTGCAACCTGCCCACTCATAACCCACCGCCAGCAGGGCCCGAGCTCAGATCCAGGAGCTCTGGCTCTGCCCAGCTTCCACGGGCTTGCCGCACCGCCTGTTCGGACGTTACTCTCAAAACGGTAGCCAGAAACATGGTTATCAGAAAAGCTTTGTAACTACGACTAGCCCAAGTTTGTGTGGCAGCGAGGACGCGCAGCCCCGGCGCAAGGCTGGGGGGCCCGGCGCCCCTCGGCAGGCTACAGCGAGGGGAGGCGCAGAGCACGCGCTCCGCTCGCCTCCTCCGTCGTGTCCTGGGCAGCTCCAACCTACGTGTGCTCAACACGGCCCACAGGCAGGCGGCACAGCCGCCCTCTCCTGCAGCCCTGCTGTCACCCACGCAGCTGAGGAAGAGGTGTTATGGCCGAAACAAAATAGGTAGCAAGAAAGAGGCAAGTTCAAGCCAGCAGGAAAGTTTGTCTGCATTTAGTTTTGATTAGACATGCCAATTACCACGCACACTAGAACCAGCCCTGTGGCCTCCTGGCAAGATATTAAGGCCATGCACAGCTCTCTGCTCCAGGTGCTTTGTGTACATTCCCTCCTTCCTCCCCAAAATGAGGGCATGGCAGGCAGGTAGCGAGTTAACCACGCTAAAACCAGAGTTAAAACTTAAGCACTGCGTTGTGTGTGGCACCCACTGCAGACTCACCGCTGAGACTGTCCTAGGGACATGGGCTGTAAAATACATCTTTTTATCAGCTAAAATACCATTTGAGCACTGGAATTCAGGGTTGAGGTGAGAGAAGGGTAGGAACAAAAAGCCGGGCGAGAGCAGCGTTAGTCCTTGCATGACAGCCACACCTCGTAAGGTCCACACCAGATTAAAGGCTTATTGTGCTGGGTCCAGCTGGCATTTCACGGCACACTCCCTGCTCCCAACAGTTAACAGTAAGGCAGCTACCACTAATTCTAATTTAGAAACTCATTAGTACTTGCAGCTTCCTCTTCAGCGCCTCCTTGCCCCCACAGGCTATGTTCCCTGCAGCTCCATTACGTATGACTTCAGCTGCCTCTTCCTCTCGTGCTGCTCTCCCCAGCCAGGCTGCTGGCAGGAGAACCCAACGCTGCTGCAAGAGGGCAGCCCCTCTCCCACGCCGCCCTGACAGCGCGCGTCCCCCACAAAGCCCTCCCGGAGGCTCCGCTGGATACAACCACGGCATCCAGAGTGACTGGGGTCCCCTTTGCGCCCCAAACCTTTGACAGGGCAACGCAGTCAAAACCAGCCTGAAAGGACCTCGAGAGCAGAGGAGACGCCGCCTCCTATGGTGACGACTGCGTCGTGTGCGATGGCTAACAGAGACCTGAAGCTGTTAGTGTATGAGCAGCAAGAACTGTCCCGCCTGCTCACGCCGCACAATTCTGCTACCGAGCCATTCAGTTTTTAAGCAGCACCGAGAAGCCCAAAGGGGAGAGGGCAGGGGGTGCTGCCGGGCAGGGGGTGCTGCCCGGCAGGGTGGAGCGTCCTCACGGTGCAAAGGCTGCGTGCACAGCGCAGCGTGCCGGGCCCGAGGCGGAGGGTGCGGGAGGGAGAGGAGCCGCGGCAGGGTGGAGCGTCCTGTTTACAGCTCGGCGCTATTATCATCCCTCCGCACCGAGCCTGCACAGCTGCCACCTGGCCACGAGCGCTGGAGCGGGTCCAAGCCAGCTCCACAGCTGAGAAGCATCAGGTTGTGGTGCTTTTACTTTCCGTGTGACAGTAAAGCTGCTGCAGATAACAGAACCGTCACCCTATCTCCAGGAGCCATTTGGCTGCCTCCAGTTGCTGCGTGAGGCTTTTGTGCAGCCACAGGGCTGGAGAGCGGTGCCCTGCAGATGTTTAAAAGTAGAAAGTCTTCAGTACCGGAGTCCTAGATGTGCAGCATCCCCACCACACCAACATGGCTGAGCTCAGAGCTCCCTAAACATCTCTCCAGGCCAGCCAACCTCTGCATCTAAGAAGAGAAACTAAAAGGTTTCAGTAAACTTCTAAAAACTTCCAGGGTCACTTTTTAATAAAGAATACTTACGGCTGAATCAAAAAACGATGACAAGCAAAAATAAAGTTCCCATTGCTATTTTCTTTAGAGTTGTAAAGTTTTCTTACTTCCCCCTCCAGATTTCACCCTGGAGAAACTGACCCTTTAACGCCAGAAGAATGTTTAGAAAGTTAGGGACATACTGTTTGGCCCCTGACATTTTTGGAATATGCCCCTGCAAAGGCCTGTCTTAAAGCGATGAAGCATAGCATAACAGCCCATGTTTAAATGTGATCAGCTCTCAGGCATGGGAGGAGGGGCTGCCTGAAGCTTCACTAGGCAGGGAGGCTTTCCCTGCCTACCTACTGGCTTTGGGTACAATTTTCTGTTTATTTATGTTGTCTATTGTACATGTTTATAAGCCAGAGCTGTAAGCTTTCAGGAGAGAACATCTCAGGGAGAGTTTAGCTGAGATGGAACCTACACAACTCTGTCAATAACTTATGCAAACATCTCCCACCCCAATGCCACACAAATTACTGCTAATTATTTAAGTTCTGTATCAGCTTCCCCCATCCACACATTTTAATGCTCTTCACAACACATCTTATTCAGATGATGCTCCTGAATTAGGGGTGGGGGCAGCAAGATAACATAAATGCTCAAGTTGAGTTTCTCATGGGCCTGTCAAACCACAGCAGGACCCTGTGACACAGAAACACGTTTTAGACAAAGTATTCACACCAAACCACGCTGCTGGATGTGCAGTGTCCCCTCTGCACCCCAGCACCACTTCCTTGCTCTGCAACATCTTCCTAGGCAATCGAGCTGCGAGATCTCTAGACTGAACTGGGGGTTTTTTGCACAACTCTGACGCAGTTCAGGTGGCACACGCAGAAGGGACCACGCTGGCCGTGCTGTGGTGGTTAGCAGGGCAGGAGCTCCTACAGCACAAAGGAAATGCGCTATCCTACCACGCCAGAGCAGGGAGAGCGCCTTGTGTTCATCGTAAGGACCCAGTTACAGCTGTAGCCAACAGTTTTGGTGTAGAGCAGGTCTTGGCCACAGCATCACCCCGAGGTCGCTGGCTCTGATCCGACAGCGCAGGTAAGGCTGGTACACAGCAAGAAATCCAGCGTCTTCCCTTCTCGTTTCAAGACGCAACTGGACAAGAGCCACGCGCAGGGCTTCTCGCGGATGTTAACAGCAGCGATCCACAAACCACGCCAGGGAATCGCACTTCACCTAGCCCCACTGTGCAAGATGGTACCTGATCAGAAAAAGTTCTCCTCTGAGGCCCACACCCACTTTAACAGGGCATTCCCAGCGCAGTGAGCAGCAGTGGAAGCGTTAGTGAAATAAAGATCAAAACTGAAGCTTCAACATGATAACCGTTTGAATCTCACTTCCACTTCTCTGCTGTTTCATCATGGTGAATTAAGTTACCTGGCAGGTTGTTGCCAAATAGGACAAAAAATTCCCAGCAGCAAGCAAGCTTCAGAATTATATCCTCCGTTTTTATTTAATTAGTTTCTTTCCAGGTGGAACAGGTAAAGGAAATTGTGTGTCCTGACTGCTGCACTGAGGAAACGCAACAGGATCAGTCGTTTCCGAACAGTCCCAATCTTTAACACGGCAAAGACTAAAACTCGTCGCAGGGAAGGAATTGCCTTTTCCCAGCACGGTGCTCTACTGCACTCCCTCCACATTCCGAAGAAACGTGAAGATTTAAGAAACCGTGCTGGCAGCCATCGCAGTCAGGCCAGCCCTTCCTCGTGGCACACCAGAGCGCTGCTATCGCCTGCTTGCTTCTGCAAAAGCGCTCCCGGCGAGGACCTCAATCTATCCCACAATCTGAAAGCAACGCAGCATTATGCAAGGAGTAAGTGCGTTTGCCCTGGGAACCCCGGAAAGCCCAAGAGGAGATGAACAGGCAGTTCTGCTTGTTCTTAATGAACTTTAAAATCCCGTGCTTGGAACACTACAGAAATCTGCAAAAGTGCTAGAAAATAGAAGCATTTAACGACAATTCTCACGGTCAGAGCTAGCTACCAAGACAGGAGTGGAGGCAAGATCAAGAGCTAGAGAGGTGCTAGGATGAAAGCTCACAGAAGGAAGAGTGTCCTCTCCACAAAGACAGCTACAGACAGGTCTGAAGGGGAGGAGACCAGGGGAAGATCTCAGGCTTTAACCAGAAGCGGAGCAGGAGCCCCAGAGAAGCTGGAGCACGCTTACTCAAGGTTCCAGAGGACAAGTGAGGCTGTAAATCCACAGCATCTGAGGGGTCGCCACAAAAACCCCACCAGAAAACAAAGCCCAGCTGGGATGCAGGGAGGCTCCCCAGTACAAGGCAGGCAGCATTCCCAACAGTCAGCATTTCCTAGGAAAAGAGAGGTCTCACTTTATTCCCAGAAGCAAAAAAGGGAAGTTATGTTCAGTAGCGATGCAATAGGGAAGAAGACTGCAGTAAGACAACCGGTGCAATTGGTATGTATGGGTAGAGAAAAAGAACAATTTAAGCATTAAGGAGCTTCAAAGAGGAGAAGGAACCTGGAATTTATGGGCAGATTAAAAGGAAATGATACACACAACCCTCAGCCGCTCCTGCAAAAAGAGTTAACGTGTCCACAGCAGTAACTTCTGGCACCAAGTCTTTTCACCTCAAGCCTCTGCAAAGCAAGTATTCTACATCTCAGTATTTTAAAATTATAATCCCTTTGCCTTTAAAGAAGATTTACAACTGAAGGGAAATTCACACCCATGCCAGGATGGGATTTCACAGCTCTCTGCTCATTTCAGCAAACATTAAGAGAAATGCAAAACCCTCAGAGCACTGAAATCCATTGCACCTTCCGGTGAAGAGGCAGAAGCTGTGGTTAAGCCATGCTGCCCCTCATGACTCTTGCTCAAACTGTAGGCACACAGCCCATGACACCCAAAAAAGTACCTGCTGTTCCCAAAGCACAGCCCTCTAGGAACCCCACAAGGACCTTCCTCTGCTTCGTGCTTGACCGACGCAGAAAGAAGCAACCCACCGAGGGGGGAGCATCAGGAAAGCAAAAAACCAAGGGCAAAGAGGATCCTACACCCAGCTGGGGAGCTGGACTCCCATCGGATACAGCCCAGCAATGACTTGCCCCACAGGCTTCACTGAACCAGCCCCAAGGGCTTCACAACTGGCCTGGGAGCACAAGGGAAGAAATCCCAGGCTTTGTAATCCCTCCCTGGTTACAAGCTGCGCTACGAGTACAGCTGGAGAGCGCTGCCCAAGGGACACAGCATCTGCAGATACCAGCAAAGGAAATGAATCGGGGACACTAGCAGTTCAAGCTGCCTTTGCTTTTTTTTTTTTTTTGGACACAGACATTGTTAAACACCAACTCTTTCCAGCACAGCTCAGGGCCTGAAACTGAACACCCCGCTGGTGGAGGAAGAACACTGAACTCTTCACCTTTAACTTAATTCTTGCAAAGTTTGTTTTTCAAATGATAAAACAATCTGAAGAATTTCAACATCCTCAAAGTCTTTGGTTGAAGTGCATGTTTCCCAAATCTAGTCTGATGCAAGGCACCACTGTGGTGGGATCTTCAAGCAAGCCCATCTCTTACCCGCTGATCCAGGCTGGGAGTGCTCTTGGACTGGCTTTAGTCTCTGAAATTTAAGTAAGAACTAGGAAAAAACCAGATGGGCAGGCAGCCTCCCATGAACAATAAGAGCAATGTAGAAACAAGCAAAAACTTGTTCAAACGTTAGATCTTTAGGACTTGTTCACTCTGATCCTGGCAAATACAGATGACTAAGGAGCTTCCAGGATCATCCATGGCACCCCTATCAGAAGAGTGAAACCCAAGCAATGAAGACAGAGCTGTGGGTTTGGGGTTTTCCCCTTTTTTGTTAACCCTACATAAATCAGCTCCCGATAAGCATCTAGGAATCAAGATCACTGCAAAAGGCAGGGCTCTCGCTCAAGATGAGACACCTTTGATTCTCAAGCCCTTGGAAGTCTTCCTGTACAGATAAAGTACAACGAAACCAGAGTGAGATATCCTTGATATTTCTACAGTTACAAACAAGATGGAAAACAAGGAAAAAGTTTTCCTGTCCTTTATATACACCTATAACTACATAAATCACATCAACGCTTCATGACAAGCCCTCCTCCCACACTCAGTCATCTTACGGCCTGGAGGGCCCAACATGAAGCTACCAAAACAACTTTTCAGCAAGGAAAACAAACAAAAAAAAAACTCCAAACAAATCAATCACATCCCATATACCTTCTCATTACCTTCCTGGGGCCTTTCCTAACTGGGAAGCGGGATAGCAAAGCTAGAATTAGCTCAGCGTTCCAGCTCGCCCGGACAGCGTAAGCACAGCAGCACCATGCACACAGCAGTCGCATGCAGCAGCCTCAGGCTCAAGCAGGCCAGGAACGGTACAAACTCTGCAATTCCTGCTCCTGAACGCTTCCAGCCTGAAAGGACGGCACACAAATGATGAGAAACTGAGGCACAAGGAAGAGAAGCAGCTTGCCCAGAGTCATGCAGCAGGTTCCAGGCAAGCATGGAAACAATTATCTCGAACGCTTCCAGCCTGAAAGGATGGCACACAAATGATGAGAAACTGAGGCACAAGGGGGAGAAGCAGCTTGCCCAGAGTCATGGAGCAGGTTCCAGGCAAGCATGGAAACAATTATCTCCCATTATTTTCAAAAGAATGGGCCAACCACACAACCCTCTTGATATTTTCCTCATTTCCTGTGCAGTCAACCCTGCATTATCAGGTGGTTTGAATGGCAGCACCACAAGCTTCATTTTTAATGCAAAAAGGCCTGTTTAATATAAATTCCAAGAGGGAATATTTTCACAGGCTCAACGCTATTGGTCTTTCTTGGATATCCTTCTTGTACAACTGCGAATCCCACTAAATCAGTATTGTCATCTTAAACTGCAGGAGCCACGAGGGAAGTGCCAAGATCCGCTCGGTGCAGTCAGCGCTGCCATTTACGCAGTATTTCAACACCCGAGCTTTGCATAAAGAGAACTCCTTGCACTTTGGTGCTCGACATTATTTCTCTCCCAGGGTTAGGCCAAGTACTTGGGTGTTCTTTTGCACCGTGCAGCCAGACAGTAAAGCATTTACCACACCTGGAACTGCTGCTTCTCTGCACAGATAGGTGTCTAGGTTCCTTCAGTTCTCTACTCACCCAACAAGCGTTGAAAACTTTCCTGTGGTCCGTGCAATTGTGTTAGATAAGCCCCAGCTGAAAGAAAGATTCACAAATAAAAATCCATCCAGGGTAAATGACCCCAAAGCTTCCCAGTTCCTCTGGAGCATTCTGCTATAGCAGGGACAGATCAAACTGATTGCACAGTCCCTTCCCCCTGCAAATTTGTTTTCAAATGTCATCTCCAGCGTTTTAAAGCAGGGAAAAACTTGTTTCACCCACAGAATGTCAACACAAGTCAAGATTAGTTATAGATGTGTCCTTTGTTTCCCCTTTCCCACACCCGTATCCAGAGGCTAACAAACTGGGAGCAGCAAGTTTAGATTGAAGGTATGATCCGTATCAGCCGAGCACTGCAACACCATGAATGGGCCCCAATTACTGTGTGAGAAACTCGTTCTACTTTAAACAAAGCCACCTGCAATGCTCTGCCTCCAAACCTGAGCCACATATTGTATTCAGCTGTGCTTTGCACAAAGACTGACCTGACTCCCCAGGCCAGAGGCAGGAGTCTTCCCAGCCAGTGCAGCAGCAGCAGGGCATCTTCAAGATGTTCCCATCCCTCAGCCAGCCCCTACGTGACCATTTTTCCCCATTACAGCTCCCCACCTGTGCTTAACCCTTTAATTCTATCAGCCTGCTTACCCTAAAGGCAAAGGCAGAATTATGTAATAGTGAATCCCAAAATTTGAGAACGCAAGGCTTGTCAAAGTGGCTGTTCGCACAGTGCACAGCACAACTTTCCCGTGACAGCACTCTGCAGCCCCACTGGAGGGTTTCTGTTTCTCTTTCACAGTTAATACCTACCAAGCTGCTACTTCTGCTGAGGTACCCCTTCTCCAGGATGGAATTTTTCACTTTCAAGTTGGGTATAGGATATAAACATTATGAACCCATGTGTCCCTTGTTCATTTGCTTAAGCACCCTCTGAAAAGCTACAGGTGTTCAGCAGCATGAAAGAAAACTCAAGAGGAGACACCACAAACATCTGGACCGCTATTCCAGCAAGGAGAGCCTTTATACCCACCCCTCGGGACACAAAACCCATCCGATACCAACTGCCAAAGCAAACACAGTGAGGCCTGAAGCACTGAAGATATTCAACTAGTAAGACTGAGGGGGATGCAACCCCCCCACACACACACTCTTTACGTGATGCCTGCAGCAAGGAGAGAAGCAGAGGAAGATGTGAACAGCTCTGCTGTATCGCTACCACGTAGGCAGCAATCCCACAGCGCTTTCAAGTGGTAAGCAGACATTGTTCTTCCTAAAGAAACATTTTCATTTTGCTAAACATACACTCAGACAGTATTGCTTATGAACAGAGCCCCACTCATCTGCCTCTATAATATGGACCAGGCAGGGGTTTAATTCAGATACCAAATAAAGATATTTGGCAGTCTGCTCACTTAGCCTCTCCAGCAGGATCCACACAGCAAAAGCAACTGGACTTCAAAAAAAAAGTCAGCTCAGCCAGCAGTAGCTTCCTGAAAAGCTAAAAGGCACCACTTAATTCTGGGGTGGGAAAACTGGTGAATTTATCTGAATTCTGGTGGAGAGAGACTCACTAAGGCTTTGGTGTCACAGAGGGTTCATGTGAAACACATGAAGTGCAAGACGTGGGTCTTGTCAAAGCTATTGTTGAGACTCCCAAATTGACCGTGTGGGTTTACAGGCGAAGACCTGCACCTCCACATCTCGCTGTTGTTCCTCTCCTGTGCCACACTGCCACTGATAATCAGGTAGCGCCTGGAAGGCAGACAGGCAGCTGCCCCTTCTGCTCCCAAGAAATCTACTCCGACACTATTCAGAAAAGCAGCTGGTAGGTAACTCCGGCGCAGCTACTCGCCCCACCTTACCCCCTGCACATTTAACGAGGAGTGCACTGAAGGAGCCTGCCCAGCTTGTAACAGATGACACGACTCACTTTTCCACCATATTCCATCTTCTCCCTCTCTGTGCACAAACCAATTCACTAAGACCGCTTACCCACTCATGTTCACAAAATGCCATGTGCACCAGCGGGCCCACAAATTCCAATTCGAGCTGCAATTTAAATAATCCTATTTTTTCTCATGTCATACTGAAAAAGAAAGGCATGAAGAGTTCTGGGTGTCTTGCTTGAGAAAGTCAGGTTTCAGACCTGCAACGCTTGATGGGGACTGGGGTTACATGCAGCCAGCAGATTCACAAGTGTGAAGGCGTAGGTCCCAGGGAGGCTGAAGTCTGGATGCAAGCATGGAAACTCTCTGACCAGCACGTGCTTCCATGTGGGCTTTGGAGGAAACAACTGAGGCCACAAAGAGCACAAGCATTGCCGTTAACGGATTTCAGCTTCAAAGTCTCCAAGAAGCTCAACCCACCCCAGAGAACGCGTAACCTCGCCAGGGTTACAGCACCTGCAGAGCTCCAACCACCCCAGCAGCCGCCCCCAAGCCACCTAACCTGGCATAAACGGATGCAGCAGGGACTGGTCTGGCTGCACCTGAAGAGGATCAGACAGTAACACGTTACCTGCTTCACCACCAAAAGCCACATCGCTGAAGAGACAAAGAATTTGAAAAAAACCAAAACATTGACCCCAATGACACACATCAGATTTGTCACTAGGAGTCCTGACATCTTCCATTTCTAAACAGCAAGTCAAGTCCTTTTAAATTATTCTTAGACCTCCTTCCTGGCATCCCCCGGCTCTAGCTCCTCCTTTTAACAGAAGCCCTTTGAGAGGCTCAGCAGCTGCTCCTCATCTCAATGGGATCCTCTATTACTGGAGCAGATGCAGGATCAGACCCCGGATCACCCCGCACCTCTTTCAAAACCCA